TGGAATATCTGAGAGGAAAATGAGTGAGAGAAACTTAGCCTCTTCAGTTCCATTATTATACCTATTTACATGCTGAACTCTGTCAGGCTGCTTAGCCCTGTATGGATCTGAAGTGGGAAGTAATCTTAAATAGTCAGTGTTACAAAGGAGTGTCTTTTGAAAGTGCAACTTCCAGTTGGGTTTTGTTCAAGACCCACCCTTTTAATGTTTTGGAGTGTAGTGTAATCCTTGGACCTTCTATCTATAAATATTTACAGTCTCCTTAATCTTCATTGCTGGATTTTTTTTTAAAAGCCCTCAACAATTCCTCTCCTTCTCCTTAGTGCCCCAGCAATGATTGCCTAGGTGGTTTTGCAACTGTACTGGAAGTCCAAAGAGATGTACTGTCAAAGGATACTCTGAAGACACACTAGTCCTTACACAAACTCATCCATAATCAAACAGCACAAGGAAAGAAAAATACAACACACACAACTGCAACATGCATATGCCTGGTCTCTTCCACACTTTGTTACTGTACTTGAGACAAAGCACCCTGTATTGTAGCCATGTTATTACCAGTCAGGGGCTTGAATATGACAGGATGGGTGTTCACAGTATAAAACCTTAGAATAAAGAAGAAAAAATGTACCTATGCTTGTCAGTCTTGCTATCACTCATTTATGTCCCTCTTTGCACCACTTTCCTGATGTGAGTGTGGGTGCCGGCATTAGGTTGGATTTGTGTTCATATCCAACTGATTGCAAAATCCAATTTGAATTACTATCAAATTATTAAAATGGCTGTCCCATTCATGTTTAGGAACCATGTCAACACTCTCCCCATTCCCTCATGCCCTGTTAGCTGGATGCAGACTAGAATTTGCTGAAAACTTTGAAAGTGAAGAAGTTGTGGTAGAAGGGGGGAAACCACAAAAATGTTAAGGAAGAATGTTCCTGTTCCTTCACCAGTCTTTCCTGACTGTGCCCTTCCAGTGCCAAGCTACTTCTTCCCTAATTACTATGAAAGGGAAGAGGAGGAGACACTTTTCCTTCATCCTTTACCTTAATGCCCTGAGCATCTTTACCATCTTTTCATTCAGCTTTCTCCCATGGCCATAGCAGTGCTCAGTATCTGGGTTGGTACACTGGTCTCTGTCAAGCAGATGGTTGGCAGTGGCACCCAACAATTCTTGTCACTTTCTTTTGTATGTTTGTCATTAGTTCCCAGGGATAGTTGTATATTTCAACCAGTTTTTCACACTCGTGGTTCATCTCCTTGGAGGGTCAAAGCAGACAATGAAATCTTAAGGGAGAGTTGATCTGTGTGTGAAAGGGGAGTGATTTCCGGCCAGGTCTCTTTTGCAAAAAAAAAAAACACAGAACCTGATGTTGTCCTAACCCTTTTTATAGCTATGTATTGCCAAAAGATGATGGACCTTAATCGGGGACTCTAGATCCACCCTTAAGGCATAATCCTGCACCACTGGAGGCAATGGGAGTTCTCTCATGAATGTGACTTAGAGACCAATCAAGCTTTTTCTTAGGAAGTGCACTGTGTGCTGGTGAATAGCACTGGATAAGAGAAAAACTTGCCATTGGCTGTGGAGGTTGCAGCACAATACAGAGACGTTGTGGATGGATCTTGTAGTAGCAGATCCACTGGGCTCACCCAGCTTTATCCCCATTCCTGTGACACACAGCGAGGGTACTCAAATAAAGCTTCACCACACAGACCATGAATATCTGCTGTGAGTGTATGCTTCCCAAAATCCTAGCTTTGCCTCTGTGTCATAGAATCTACATTGGTGCAGGTGCCCTTGTGCTGCGGAAGGAACTGAAAGAACTAAAAATATATTGCCCACTGTCTTATTTTATTTTGCCAGTTTGGTGCCAGTACATGAATTCTGCCTTACAGCCAACGATCAAACAACATTAACTAAGCAATAAACCTCTGAGCATCAGAACATATTTAGCTTTTCAGATTAAGGAATTACCCTCTACCACACACACCCTCTACTTTCTAATCAGTCTGCATCTTGATAAACTCTACCATTCCTGGTGTGTTGGAAGACTGCCCTGCCCCAAATTAGAGATGGATCAAATGAGACATGAATCCAAACTCATTCATGCAGTGATGGGGGCTGAATGTTCAGATTTGATTCTCTTGTTGTTTTAGCTCTGGGTCAAATCCCAGATGGGGGAGCCCTCACTTCTGACCCAAGTTTTTTGTGTGGATACAGTCTAGAAGGATCAACTTGTAAGAAAAACTTAAAAAAACCCCCAATGAATAGTCTAGTAGCACCTTAAATAATAACAGAACATGTATATGGTATCATGAGTTTTCCTGGGCACAATCCACTTCTTCAGAAGAGTTCACTATCATGAGATCCATACTGGATTCAATTTCGGGTAGCACCAAACCTCCCCAGACCACCGCTATATGAGACATGAGTTTCTGTTTTGGATGACTACTTTAGAAATCTAGGCGTCTCTCTTCCATAAAGGAACAATACCTGTTAAATATTTTTCCTTGGTCCTGTAGTTCCTTCCTTCATCACATTTCATTTCACCTTTATTTGCCGAAGTAGTTGGGCTGGGTGCCTGAATACTAAGTGGAGCTTATGCTAATATTGTGGGTGATGGATTTCTTCTTTCTTTTCATCTTGGATTCCTACTCATGAACTGGTGTGTTAGAAACGCTTTCTGATTTGCCAATGGACACATTTCCTTTAGAAACAGAATCTAACTACAGTTACATTAATGAAAAGCTCAACACGGGGTGGTGTATAGAACACGCGGATGAAGCAGCCACATCCACACATGTCAAGTGCTCTTTCAAAGTGGAGCATGGGGTTTTAGCCACATGAGTACCCATTAAAGTTAATAGGAACTGCACAGAAATCCCTGCCTGCTGCTTTGATAATATAGAGGCACATGTTTAAGATGTGCAGATTGAGTTGACATGGACTCTTATCTCTTCAGTGTTTCTACTGACTTCTTCACTGGTGTCTTTACTGAAACACCCTGTACTTATCCCTTTCATTTTTGTTCAAAGCACATGGTGATGTATAATCAGTTGAAGCAATCTGAAAATCAAATGACTAGAGATACATGACCTGGGGCATCTCCGGGTTTCCTACAGGCACCATGCCATTTTTCAGGAGGGATTTCTGCACTGAGTAAATAAATCATCTCCATAAGCAAAATACCCTTCTGGGCTATTCACTATCATTCTCTTTGCCAGGAGCTGTTAACATATGATGAAAACTGTTCTGAAATCCCTTTCACAGAGAGCCAAATTCTGCCACCCATACTTACATTAAATAATCTCTTGCTTTAGTTCCATTGACATCAATGAGATTGCTGTCAGAGTAATATATCCTCCCAAATTTGAACAGGGAGCCATATACTAGTGCAGAGATATTACTGTAATTTTAGTAACACCCCTTTCAAGTCAGCCCCCCAATAATATTAATAATGGCGATTAGCTCTTTGGATACAGAATTCTGTCACTCAGCTTTTGCTTTTTTGATTATTTTGCCTCGGGTGTTACTGTAAAACCTATTGTTTTTATAAGTTAAATAATTTAATGTAATTAGATTGTAAGGGAACTTTTACTATTCCTTAATTTGATAAGGGCAGCAATATTACTTCTGTATGACAAGCCCAGCTCCACTCTCATCCTTAACATTTCATTCATGCCTTGCTTTCTTCTTTTTAAGACCTAAAGCATTTTAAAAAGTGAGATACGGTCGTTTAATGTTCTATTCTATGCAGGGTGGGTGTTTGCAATGTAGCCTCCTTTAAACAGATGCTAAAGCTCGCCATCTTGTGGTCTATATGACAACTATTGCTTTCAGGTTTTGTGTGTGTTTGAATGTGTACATTTTTACTCACTAATGTAAAGAACCAATACTAGTGTCTTCAATCAGGACCAGCAGGAACATACTGTGCAAGTTTTCTTCACCCACCTATTGTTTCTACTGACTTCTTCACTGGTGTCTTTACTGAAACACCCTGTACTTATCCCTTTCATTTTTGTTCAAAGCACATGGTGATGTATAATCAGTTGAAGCAATCTGAAAATCAAATGACTAGAGATACATGACCTGGGGCATCTCCGGGTTTCCTACAGGCACCATGCCATTTTTCAGGAGGGATTTCTGCACTGAGTAAATAAATCATCTCCATAAGCAAAATACCCTTCTGGGCTATTCACTATCATTCTCTTTGCCAGGAGCTGTTAACATATGATGAAAACTGTTCTGAAATCCCTTTCACAGAGAGCCAAATTCTGCCACCCATACTTACATTAAATAATCTCTTGCTTTAGTTCCATTGACATCAATGAGATTGCTGTCAGAGTAATATATCCTCCCAAATTTGAACAGGGAGCCATATACTAGTGCAGAGATATTACTGTAATTTTAGTAACACCCCTTTCAAGTCAGCCCCCCAATAATATTAATAATGGCGATTAGCTCTTTGGATACAGAATTCTGTCACTCAGCTTTTGCTTTTTTGATTATTTTGCCTCGGGTGTTACTGTAAAACCTATTGTTTTTATAAGTTAAATAATTTAATGTAATTAGATTGTAAGGGAACTTTTACTATTCCTTAATTTGATAAGGGCAGCAATATTACTTCTGTATGACAAGCCCAGCTCCACTCTCATCCTTAACATTTCATTCATGCCTTGCTTTCTTCTTTTTAAGACCTAAAGCATTTTAAAAAGTGAGATACGGTCGTTTAATGTTCTATTCTATGCAGGGTGGGTGTTTGCAATGTAGCCTCCTTTAAACAGATGCTAAAGCTCGCCATCTTGTGGTCTATATGACAACTATTGCTTTCAGGTTTTGTGTGTGTTTGAATGTGTACATTTTTACTCACTAATGTAAAGAACCAATACTAGTGTCTTCAATCAGGACCAGCAGGAACATACTGTGCAAGTTTTCTTCACCCACCTATGCCAGTCCCTCTGACACCAGGGGACTAGATACAGTCTTGGGCCTACCTTACCATAAACTAAATTTGTGCAGCAGTAGTTGATAGCGACCTCCTCTTCTGTACGCTTTTTCTTGTAACCTGGAATAAGGATTGGACACCAGGTATCTTGTTCTGCACTGCTGTATCCTTGTGCAGTTATATATACGCAAACTAAAGAAATTGCTACCAGATCCAGAACGCTGAATTTTAAATAGAATCTGCAACAGATGCAGATGGCTACGCAACGTGTAAAGCAGTGGAGAAGTAGATCCCACCTCTCCATAAGGTTGAAGCAAGTATGGCAACATATTGCACTGGATGCTACCCTAGGGGATCAGAGCTAAGCAAATTCTCACTGCTTATCAAAAACCTATTTCTCTAATTTTCTGGAGCAAGAGAAACATGCATTGTTTTTTAAAAATGTAGGTTGAATCTTAAATACATCTGTCACATTTTTGGCTTGAAATTCCATATACCTCCTCCCTGAATAAGTCAGTGATATTTTTTTCTATGCATTCTTTTTACAATAAGGATGGTGTTCACTGAAACTGAAGATGTAACATTAGGGTTGGATTTGGTTTGGAGATTTTTTGGAAGGGAATCCCAAAGTTGGAAACACTTTTTGAAAGTTAGGAAATTAATTAACTACATTACAATATGTATTGAAGGCCTTCAATGGGCACAACATTACAATACAAATAAGGAAATCAGGCCATTGATTTTTTTTTTTAACTTGGGTCAAAGACAAGAATTAGGCATGCAGGTCACCTGCCCTGTAATCATGGGATTATTAGTTAGGCAGACTGGAAAACATGAGGTGAGTCCAATGGATCAACAAGTCAAGATAGGTCTTTGTGCACACAATAGAACCATGGGCTGCATGTGGCACAATGCAGCCTATAAGACCTTGACAAATCACGTCTGGCACTTGGGAAAATGACCCTGCTTCCTTCTGCAGCTCTTGTAGGCTACATCTAGACTGCGGTGCTGTTTTGGGATGCTGGAATAACAGACGGGTTATTCTGGTGTCCCTGTAACTCTCGTTCCATGTGAATTAAGGGACGTTTTGGAACAGTGCTTTATTTCAAAATTACCTTGAAATAAGCTACCCTTTTAAGCCCGCTCTCTCCAGCACTGGCTTCTGCCTGTCCCTCTCCCCTTTCCTCCCCCCTGGCTGCCTCAGGAGGTGGGCGGGGGAGGGGGGAGGAAGGAGGAGAGAGAAATGTGTGTAGTCAAGATTAACTGATAAGCCTAGGCTTATGGGTTAATCATATAGTTGACTACCCGTAGACATCCCTAATACAGAGTGCCATGGATTGTGTAAATGACCCAGCTTTCTGAAGCTACTTACTGTAGTGTGGAACTTCTGCCAAGAGATCAGATCTTATTCCACACTTATTCCACACTGGCTGATGGGAGATAAGAGATTTTACTGGGGGTAGGGACAGTGCATGAAGCCTCTTCCTCCCGCCCTCCCTTGCCCTGCTGGCAGTGCAGAGAGCCAAATGCACTGCCAGCCAGCTGTCTGGGACTGGGATGGGGGAGCCTGCCTGAGAGTGCTGCTTGCCAGGTAGTGCTTAGGTAAGTGCCTTCCAGACAAAGCCTGCCTCTGGCATCCCAGCCTCTCCCTCCCCACAACTCCCTTGCCAACCTTGTACCCCTCCTAAACCCTCTCCCAGGCCAGATTGTTCTCCTGAACCCATATGCCCCTCCTGGACCCTGCACTCCAATCTCCTGCCCCAGATCACAGCCCCTCCTTTAAGCAGACCCCCTCTCAGACCCCATGCCTTCTCCTGCACCCCAGTCCCCTACCCCTAGCACCCTCCAGCCTCCATCCCAGACCCCACAGTCACTCCATAAAGAAGCCCGGCCCTTGACCACTTACCAAAATCTTGATGTGGCCACCCCATCAAAAATGATTGTCCATCCCAGCTCTAGACTGAAAAGATGAAGTGAAATAGGAACACGGGCAAAATAAAAATGGAGAGCCTGGGACACGGGAATGGTGACAATCCCAGTATAATCTCTGGTTCCTCTTTTTCCTGCCCTCTCTATGTTCAGTTTGTCTGAGTAAGGCTTGTTACTTCTTATTTTCCCCCTTAACATCAACAAATATTCCCCTTTCTGGCCACTCCTACTGTTAAGTCCCTTGTCCTTGCTTTGCTTAGCATAAGTTTTTTTCCAGCTCCTCCTCCTCATTCCACTCTAATCAAAACACAGCTGCTAAAGACATCTTTCTCTCCTGCCACTCAGTCCACATCCCCAGCTGCCTCAAATCCCTTCCTGTCTCATATTACATCAAATCTGAGGTCCTTGTCATCACCTTTAAGCTTCACTCCCCCCATACTTCCCTCCCGGATTTCATTTCCTTCTGCTTTCTTGCTTACTACTTACACTCCTCCCACACACGTCACCACCTCTCCATTCTTTTTCTTGCACTTTTGCTCTTTCCTCACAAGCCATTTCTTTCTCTTTCCTTAGATACTGAGTTCTGTTCCTGGCTCTGCTCAGTGACCTTGCACAACCCATTTCCCCTCTTGTAAAAACCAGGGATAATGATACAGGGCCACCTCTGCAAAATGCTTTGAGAACTACCTATGAAAAAATCTCAGAGTAGCCATGTTCAGCTGTAACTTTAAAAATGCGTAGTCCTGTGGCACCTAGAGACTAACAAAAATATGTATAGTATCATGAGTGTTCGTGGGTAAAATCCACTTCATCAGGTGAGCTAGAAAAGTTCCCTATAAGAGCTAGGTGATGGCATTTATATATAAATAAATTAAAATCCACCTTTGCCAAGAATCTTTTTTTCTCCTTACTTGAAAGCTCTCCTTACTTGGGCTGTTCTCCCAGATCTAGTCTTGTACTTGTATTTATCTTTGTTTGTAAAATTCCTTTGGACAGGAGATGTGCCAGGCACCTTGCACACTTTCTGTGATACATAAATAAATTTCAATAATATATTAGTGAGACTGACCAGAAATTCCCTCAGCTGTGGGGGAGAGAGAAATCATCCAGGCTGGTACTCCCTGAAACAGCAAGCAAGTTGAGATCTAAACAAATGGTTACTAGTAACAAAATCCAGGATTTCTGCCTCTCTCTCTTTCTGTGTTTGATGCACTCACCAGCATGATATCTGAATGCAGCTATCCATCTATACCTGAAATATGACTCTCCTACCCTGTGCTTGCTCCTTCAGACCATACTGCCTCCCACAATGGTGGTTATGTCTCATCTGAAATTCCAATCAGCACACACAGTTTACAATTCTTGAAGTAAGCTCTTGGGTTTCTGATCACGTGACCAAAAAAGAATTTGGTGGGGAGAAAGTGCTTCATTAGCTTGTTTGGATCACATAAATGAATTATTTTTTTAAATTATTTAATTACACTTAATACGACCAATTCATCTAAACTTTTACTATAGTATTGCTTAATGTAAAAAAAGCAGCAAAGAAAAATACAGACAATCCAATAGATCTCATGGGAAGGGGAGCCATTTCGGATTTTGATGATGTGGGTGAAGCAACCTGTGAATGCCATGATAGCAGGGGAGAAGAGAGTGAGAGCATGGAGGGGCAGACTGAGAGCAGAGGCTTCAGCAGTGTTACTGAGCATGTTCAGTACAAGCCAAGCACCAAATCTGGGAGGAGGGGGAGAGAAACCAGGCCTATCCACCCTATTCTCCCTCCCCCGCCACACACACACACACACGCATCACATTTCTCCAGGGGCTAACAAGGCAATGGAAAACTCTACTTTTTTGGCAGACAACTTAGCAGTTAGCTGACAGGAGCACTGTATCTAATTCCTATATAAAAGAAAGAAAATTACATTAATATTTGACTCACTCAGCTCTAACATTAACCTATTCTGACATCTTGTGGCAAGTCAATTAAGGAACACTGGTTAGCCTTAACATTTTAAAGTATATTCCTGTTTTGTTACTAAATGTGGAGAGAGACAGACTCTGTCAGGACTCCTGGACTCACTCTCAGCTCTGGAAGGGATTAGGGTTTGGTGGGTACAGCAAGGGGGCAGATACATTTCAGATATGTAGAACAACATCATAATAGCCATACTGGGTTAAACCAATAGTCCTTCTAGCCCTGTATCCTGTCTTCCAACAGTGGCCAATACCAGGTGCTTCAGAGGGGAATAAACAGAAATATCATCATCATGATATATCCTCTGTTGCCTATTCCTAGCTTCTGGCAAACAGGCTATGTGTCTACATTGCGCTCTCTTGTGCAAGAACATATGCAAATGAGGCATGGCGATATTCATAGCTGTGCCTCATTTGCATATGTTCTTGCACAAGAGAATGCAATGTAGATATAGCCACAGAATTTAGGGACACCATCCCTATCCATTCTGGTTAATAGCCATTCATGGACCTATCCTCGTTGAACTTATTTTGTTCTTATTAGGACCATATTATGGTTTGGCCTTTCCACCATCTCCTGGAAAAGAGTTCCACAAGTTAACTGTAAAAAAATTATTTTGTTTTGTTTTAAATCTGCTGCCTATACATTTAATTGTCAGAATCTTATGTTATGAATAATATTTCCTTATTCTATTTTCCCACATAATTCATGATTTTTCTATACCTTTGACATATCACCCTAACCTTTAATCATTTATTTTCTAAACTGAGAAGTCCCAGTCTTGTTAATCTCTCCTAATATGGAAGCTGTTCCTTATCCTTTATCATTTCTGTTGCTCCTACTGTACCTTGTCCAAATACAATGTATCTTTTTAAGATGGAGTGACCAGATCTACGCACAGTATTCAAGATATGGGCATACTATAACTTTATGTAGAGGCAATATGATATTTTCTCTTATATACTCCTTTCCTAATGATTCCCAATATTCTGTTAGCTTCTTAGTTTTTAGACTGCCACTGCACATGGAACAGATGTTCTCAGGGAACTATCCACAATGATTCCAAGATCTTTCTTGAGTGGTGTGACGGGGCGAGGCAGCCCTGCACTGAGCCTGCAGGGCCCAGCCAGGGTTACCTGGCTGCAGAGGCCTCGCCCAGCAGCCCTACCGAGCATGCCCGGGCTGCAGCTCAAACATAAAAGCCTGGGGAAGAAGTCAATCTGATGGGATAGCTGGAGGAGAAGGACTGGTGAAGGGAGCGCCTGCACAGCTGTCACTGGAGACTCCAGGAGAGGCTGGGAGGGGACATGGAGGTGAGCTGGTGCAACCCAAGGATGGCCCGCAGGGGAGATGCTGGCCTGGAGGCTGCAGCCAACTGGGCGAGTACATGGGAAGGAACCCCTGGGAACCAGCTAAGAAGTGGCCCAGGGCAGAAGCAGGAACCGCCCCTCCTGCCCTGAGAACGTTGGTACGTTTCGGCTGAATTGCCCCGCCGAGGGACTGACCCTCTACTCAGTTGCTCACAGGGCCCTGGGCCGGGATGTGGTGTAGGGTGGGCCT